CCCCTCCCCCCCACCCCCCGACCACGGCGCCACTGCCATCGACCGTCCAACATGATGATACTTCCACTGCCAGGTGTAGTTTAAATTCCACGTCACCTTTACATATTTCTGGTATTTTCAAATACCATATATTGGATAATATTATACCTCAACTTCAAATTGTCCAATCAGGAAGCTTAGTTTGTAGCACGTGAGCATGAAATTAATCGCGATGTCACGCCTTACTTCATAACTTAGGGAGCCTGCGTTCCTTTGACAATGTTCCACCCCATGTTCCCCGGGGAACATGGGGTGGAACATTATTCGCGTAGACCACGCGGGACAACACGAATGACAACAAGATGGCCGACAAAATATAAATAGTATTTATAATGAGTCATGAATAATTCAATTAAGGTGGCTCCATACACTTTCATCATCGGGGGACTGGTACCTAATCTTGAGTTTCGCGCGAAAATATTACAAATATATGCAAAAATAAATAAAACTTTTTCAGTCTAAAATCCGAACCACAAGTCATGGTTATTTTGATGTTTCGAGTCTTTTTTGTTCTCATTTGTTCTCAAAGAACAAACTTCGTCCTGATTTAGCCCTGAACATTGAATAGCTAGTCTTTTTAGAATACATTTTAAGGTAAAAAATGCAATGTTTAACGTTCAAACTCTTGTGAAAACCGGCGATCGGCCCGACCGGCGAAACGTTTTTTACTCCAATATTTGACGTTTTATAAGTTCATATCCAGAGTTTTTTGTACTTACAACTGGTAAATGTATTCAAAGCGTCACTAACAGCAAAGGAATTCAGTCAAACAGCATCATACGCCGGCTCGAACTGTTTTAAATTGTCAACAACAACATGAAAACACACAAGTTTAATACGACTGTAAACGAATATAAAACTATGTAGAGAAGCCAAAAAGTTCATACATGTCACACATATCTTATACCAAACGACACAATCACCTGTTTTCTTGGCGTTATCCCGAGTTAGCATGCAAAACTAAAGATATTTGCATTTCTAAGCAAGAAAACACAACATATATTTGATATTTCGACGAGACTAAAAACCTTTTTGTGCGTGTTTTTCTCGAGATGCGCCTGCGAAAACATGTACGCGCATGTCAATTCATTGATCTTGCAGAGCTCGAAAAACTTTCGGCCGAGCGAGTGAGATACCACAATAAAACGGCGTAATTCAAAATTTTGCACGGTGACATGTGATGAAATTTTGCACACTGATAACTTCTTTTAAAACAAATAGAATATCAAAATTTTAAAAAAATCTGTAGATTGGAAAACTTTAAATCCGCAATTTTTTATTCTGGCTATTCTAATCTACAGAATTTTTTTATTTTCAGGGATAAGATTCCTTATTATAAGTGAAAGCTATACAGCAGTTAAAAATTGGGGGTCACCGGCAATACTCGGAAAATAAAGAATAAAAACCTGCTTAAAATAGCAAAAAATACCATATTTGGCGAGGCTACTGTTACTATGGAAACAATATTATGTTCAAGAATATTGCAAATTTTTTCTACCAAATACTTAATTTATACTTGGGAATGCTTAAAATTAATAGATGGAGTAACACAATTTATAAATTGAAATTTTTACGCAATAAGGTATTTATACTACGGAACTGTATGGAGCCACCTTAAACGTAAAACCTGGGGCTTTTTCAAAATTTTGAAGCAACTTTTGAAAAATGTTGTCATTAATATTCCAAACGATATGTGATTCGAAAGAAAAGCGACGAATACTTGCGTTAATCCGAAAATAAAACATCGTATTCACGAAGGTATGTGTCAAGTTTTTAATTCTCAACTTGGAGGCTTTTAATTTTCGGTATAATATATCATTTATAGACCCTCCGCTCGGGGGATTCGGCGAAATATTACCCTCAGTGATGATATTTTCCTCGGGGCAAAGCCCCTCGGGAAATATCATCACTTCGGGTAATATTTCGCCGAATCCCCCGAGCTCCAGGTCTATAAATGATAAATATGTGTTCTTTGTAAAGTATTTCCCCGGTGGATATATACCCAACAGTTGCTATATAAATACATATATAAGCAGGAGTGTACTTAGGATTTTTCGTCAGGGAGGCGGGGTGGTCCAGCATTACCAATATATGACCTGAATACATTCAAAGATATATCACTTTGATTTACGCGAATGCATGGCTGTCCCTTGTAAAATCATACATTCTGATTCATGAAATTATAATCCTGATGAAGGGCCTTCGTTTGATCGAAGCGTCGACATTCGTTTCATTTTCTGTTGCATGCCTGCCAACGAAAGCTTGTTAACATTATTGTTTACCTACGCTGGCACAGACAGTTCAACATTATAGATTTAGCAAGTTAAATTTAAATTATAAATACGGCCATTTATAAATGGAGGTGGCGTATTAAATTGTAAAGATGGCAAGGAATTGTTAGCTTTACTATTATATTCGTTTGAAATGAATGTTTCAGGGATGTTTCCTGGATGTTTCCTGGTCGCCGGACCCATCTATATAGGCTATACATGGGATTATATATATATCCAAGCTTCCAAAATATACTATATCATACAGACTATATATCTATATTTACCGTGTACAGATCGATACCTGGGAAGATATTACCTGAAGAGATAATACCGGGGGTAATATTTGGCTGAAATCCCTAAGTACGCCTGAAATCCCTAGCTGAGTCCATAAGTACGCCGGTTGAGAATCTTTCGTATTAGCTATTTTTATTACTGGAAGTTAGGAAAGTTAAGTATTAAATGGGCTTGCGCAGATTCTGTAATTATCAGTACGATTATTGCGACTGAATATTTATATAAAATGACAAATATTGGTTAGGTCTAAAAGATGACAAATATTGGTTAGGCATCGGCCAGCAGAGAGAACAAAATTCTGAATCGTTTCCGGCCATTTGGCGAACAAAATGCTTTTATCGGTAGTCATGCTCGAATATCTAATACCTGATCAATAACAGCAGTACAGTTCAATAACAGGAGTACGTTCGTTATTACCATACTCATTGCAATCAATACTATCATAGGACAAACACATATGTATATATATGATCGATCATTATAATATAACATTTTATGATTGCCAAACTTATTCCATTTTCAGAAATTTATTTTAAAAATTGTCTGTAGCTGGTAACCGATTTTTTAGATTTATTCTACTAATATATGATCGAATTAATATTTCATTTAGATATTGGCGACTGTAGAATTGGAAGTGATAAATGCCATGTGAATGCATCCTGTACCAATACATCTGGTTCCTATACCTGCACTTGCAAAGAAGGCTACACTGGAAATGGTACACATTGCGCAGGTATAGAAATATAATTTTTCATTTTGAAATACTCATTCATAAACATCAGGAGATATGCAACTTATCCCCCGAGCCGACGGCGCGAAGCGCCGTGCGAGGGTACTAATTCTCCCCGGCTATTTACACCAGGGGAAACGAAAGCATTAGCGAAGGCTAAAGTTCATCAATGATCGCGGGCGTGGCTCACCAACGATGGGTGGTCGTCCTCACTGATCTCAAAAATATGGCGGACTGTCATGAATAGCGGACACTGATTGGTCCAATTTAAAGTTTGCATTATAACGGCTGCATGACGACAGCGAAATAGCAAACATTTCTTGATTTGATGATTGATAAATTTCTTGCAAATATATTTCATTTTTGCTCGCATTTTTGCAAGATTTTTTAAATTTCAAAAGCTTTGTCAGAAAGAAAGGGCGAAAGAATCGGCTAAAAGAAGGTAGCCAACGTTAACGAAGGTAAGTTGTTTTAAATATTGATTTTATAATTTCTTTAAAAACCCTAAGGCCTTTGCGTATATGAAACAAGTAAAGTACTAAACAAGACAGCATATAATTTCAGTGTATCTTTAATACTGATTCTCTCTTTCTTATTATATATTGATTTTTTTAAATAAAAAAGAAAGCAAAGTTATTTGCATGCGAGAATTTGAAATCATTTTATTGCAAACTCAAAGTTTATCGATAAAGCCATTTAATTAAAAGCAGCATGTTTAGTTTTATAAAGAACACTTTAAAACGTTTTGCAAAGCATTTATGGTTGAATTTTACCTTAAATTGAAGCTTTTATTACGTATAATAACATGCCTAACATATATATGTTGGGAAATTGATAATTTTGTAATTAAAAGTGATATTTTTAGGCGATTTTTCATTTTCTGGCCTACCAATTTCGGGAGGGTGGATACTGTAGTTCTTCAATAATTGAAATGGCCACAGAACCATCACTATGGTTGCGTAGATCCCAGGAGATCTTGTGACGTCATAATTGTAATTCAGAGGAAACGATATTTTCAGTACAATGTATCGCGTTATAATGCATATATGGACGCTTTGAAGGCCGCTTTCGAGTTTAGGATCTGGGTTAAAATGGACCTGGCACCCTCTCCCGTCTCTCAGCAGACTGAAATCACTGACGGAATCGAGTAAACAATACTTGTTTAATTTTTCACATTGGGCGACGGGAAAGGTATAATGGTTTGCAAAATATTTTTTTCAACAAAAACAACCCGAGAACAAATTTGGTCAAATAAACTATAAAAGTAACCAATTTAAAGAACCTGATGTGGAAATTTTGATGATGATAAGACCAAGACAAGCGAGAACCAGTGGCGTAACGCTCATTAGGTAGGGTTAGTTCAAAAACTAAAGGCTCACGACGGTTAAGGGGCCCCATCAGCTACGGCCTATCGCCCTGAAAGTTAGAAAACGTAAAAAATGCAGGTTAAGGATCATGGGAAAATACAAAATTAATAAAGCTAAATAATAAAGCCTCCATGCACGACGCGGTAGCTGATTTTTTGTTCCATCTCGAATAGAACAAAAGTCATTCTTAAAAGTTGTTACATATGTGTTGGAGGCTGTTATTTTCTTTGTTATAGATACGGAATTTTCCAGAACATTCTATAAGTTTTCGGCAAAATAAATATAAGATCAACAGGGCCCCCCGCACCAAATATGCCTAAGAGCCCGATCTTCGTCCGTTACGCCACTGACGAGAACAAAAACGTATTTTTGGAAATGTTTTTGTTTAAATTCTTTTTAGTTTTAATTCCAGGACCTACTACAGGAGATCCAGTAACTCCTTCACGAAATCCAGTAACTCCTTCAGGAGATCCAGTAACTCCTTCACGAGATCCAGTAAATCCTTCACGAGATCCAGTAACTCCTTCAGGAAATCCAGTCACTCCTTCACGAGATCCAGTAACTCCTTCACGAGATCCAGTAACTCCTTCACGAGATCCAGTAACTCCTTCAGGAAATCCAGTCACTCCTTCACGAGATCCAGTGACTCCTTCAGGAGATCCAGTAACTCCTTCAGGAAATCCAGTCACTCCTTCAGGAGATCCAGTAACTCCTTCAGGAAATCCAGTCACTCCTTCACGAGATCCAGTGACTCCTTCAGGAAATCCAGTCACTCCTTCAGGAAATCCAGTCACTCCTTCACGAGATCCAGTGACTCCTTCAGGAGATCCAGTAACTCCTTCAGGAAATCCAGTCACTCCTTCAGGAGATCCAGTAACTCCTTCAGGAAATCCAGTCACTCCTTCAGGAGATCCAGTAACTCCTTCAGGAAATCCAGTCACTCCTTCAGGAAATCCAGTAACTCCTTCACGAAATCCAGTGACTCCTTCAGGAAATCCAGTGACTCCTTCAGGAGATCCAGTGACCCCTTCACGAGATCCAGTGACCCCTTCACGAGATCCAGTGACTCCTTCAGGAAATCCAGTAACTCCTTCAGGAAATCCAGTGACTCCGTCAGGAAATCCAGTGACTCCTTTAGGGAATCCAGTGACCCCTTCACGAGATCCAGTGACTCCTTCGGGAAGTTCTGTCGCTCCTTCAGGAAATCCAGTGACTCCTTCACGAGATCCAGTAACTCCTTCGGGAAGTTCTGTCACTCCTTCAGGAAATCCAGTGACTCCTTCAGGAAATCCTGTAACGTTCACACCCTCAGTAACTCCGGTGACTGAAGGGCCATGTTTTACTTACCCTAGTCCATGTCATTCAGAAGCCACTTGTAACAATATTTCGGGAAGTATTATTTGTACGTGTAAATCTGGATACACTGGTAATGGAACTCTCTGCACTGGTACGTAAACCATTTGTGACAACACATCTAAGGCTGCTGCCTGGATTGAGCCTTATAATTAAATCTTCCAGAATTACTTTACCATCTGTTTCACACTGTATTTTAATATAAGCGGGATATAATAGACAATTTCGTTGACTAATGCGTGTGCTGTGACGCAATAATATACCGTGATCTGTCATGTGACTTGGTCCTTCAAGAATATAAACAAAACTATAGCTTTTTTTAAATACAAAATTTATCAGAAGTCCAGAAAGAATAGAACGAAGGAACGTAGCAATTTTATCTGTAGGTCTACGTGTAAAAACAGTGAATTTAACCGGCCTGGCATTCGTTCCCAAAACAATTTGAAAAAGATATCATAATAGCCGAAAAACATAGAAAATGGCAACAAAAACTGAACATAAGGGATTTAGAAAGTGCCTTCACTGCTCCTGATAAAAACTGCTAGACATATTTTCGGCAGAATGCCAAGAATACAATAATTTAAAGAAATTAAAACTGAGAAACACGAGAAACCAATGATTGAACGTGGAAACTCCAGTAGCCCTGGGTATCACTGTCGATGCATTAAACAGTTTCCCTCAACTTTTTACATCAAAACCTTATTAAAATCTTGTATTGTTTATGGTCGTATGTTCGCTTAAAAATTCAAGCGACAGTACAAATATGCGCATCACGTCACTGAGTACATGTTAGGAGAATTAGGAGAATTTCAAAGTCGATTTTTTGAGTAAAATTGTGTGCTCGGTCTGTAAACGGAACGAAACGGGACACCATTTTGTTTTTGTCCGAAGGTGAATAGTGCAATGACATTAGAAACTGAGCAACCAATCAAATTTCACGAAACACACTAACCACCTTCCGAGCATATGCTAATTAATTTTATTTCCCAGATATTAACGAATGCAACAGCAATCCGTGCCATGAAAAAGGAACGTGTCGAAATTTTCCAGGACATTTTACTTGTACGTGTGATTCAGGATTCACTGGTAATGGAACACACTGCATTGGTACGTAAAACGGTTTTAACATACAAGTTATCATCTTCCTATTTAGTTTAAAATGAATTGATGATCCGAATGCAACAACAAATTTATTTTAGAATGAAATCAAAATGTTCATTATAAGTGACTTTTAGCAACTTGTAATTTGTTCTAGTTTTTTGTACGTTACACATTTATTCTCTTGTGCTTGAAAAAGTAATGACCAAATTATTTAACTCCTGGACTAAAATACAAGACATAACTTGCTGCATGCAAAGACGACATCAAATCCTGGTTATTATATATCAACAAAAATTCTCAGCCGAACAAATAAATTCCAATTAACCCAAGCAATAAGTAAATTATCTATCATTAATATTATTAAAATCTTTCCGATGTTGATCAACGCTTTTCTATTCGTACAAAACTTTTATAATCACAAAAAATTCCCATTCCACAGAATGTATTAATTTTCAAAAATGTACAGTCTTTACTTCTTTTTTAAATTTACTACCAACTTAAATTTCGAATAAAAACGAAGACACCTCATAGGGTAAGGTGGACATTGTATAGCCACACCCTCCCCCTCACCCATTTTTCAGCCTACCCTATAGGGAATAAATAATGAATGATCCCTAAACCAATGGCTTGATGACCTGATTTCAGATATAAACGAATGTACAGTGACGCCAAATGTCTGCCTCAAAAGTATGATGTGTGAAAATACTCTCGGTGGGTATGACTGCAAATGTCGAAGTGGTCGCGTTATTGTTGGGAATATTTGCAAAGGTAAATATAGCTAAAACATCTATATCTCTCTGTGTAAATATTGAATGTAATAAGCAATATTAAACGCGAAATAGAGCAACTATGTCATAGCCAAGGCAAAATAGGACACACCATTGCGGAAACATTATGTTCCGATGCCCACCTAGAAATATTTGTCACTGACTCCTTTGCCTTTAAATTTAATTAGTCCTCTGTGTGTATTGTTCGTTGGAACAACCATTACCACCAGAATAAATTATTCCATACAGCACTTCGAGTTAAGTAAAAAAGAAATGTATGGAAGATCAGAATAAACGCTGGATTTTTTTTGAGGTTGGTCAGACAGTGAAACATTAAATTTTGTTCTAATGTTCTATAGCGGTCAAAACGTATGCTGGTCGTTTGTCAATTAAAAATCTTCAGTATCGTCCAATCTACAACAACTCACAAAGCAAAGAGTATATTGAATTAAGCAACACCATGAAACATGCTGTAAGTATTTTGATTCAATCGGTACAGGATATTGATTTTTCGATCAAAACAACACGCTGAAATTAATTTCACATGCATGCGAAGTAATTACGAATTAGTTGAAGTTGTTGTGTTGCACATCATAGCAGCAGATGCCATAAATAGGCACGCGATGAGGTGAGACAAAACACTTGTAGTATAACCAGTGTACGAGCTGTATAGTCCTGCTCATACCAGTTCTCAATTCAAATTAAAAATTGTCTTCACCCTTTCAAAATTTAGATTAGAGAATTGTATCAAAATACTTCATACGGTGACTTGGTTGTTGATGTTCTTATTAACAGAATTTAGTAAGTATATTTTATTTTAAGCATTTCGAAGTTGTTTTTTGTATGAATGACAAAAAGTAAGAATTCCTTCGAACCCTGTTTAATATATCGAACTAAACAAATTAGATCTATATATTTCACAATCAGTGGCGCCGCCAGCTCGATTATTGGGGGGGGGGGGGGAATATTGATATCTTCGTGTTCTGCATTATTAACTTCTTTTGAAATCCATTGTTTTTATGGTCTGTGAACACAAATATATGAATATTCGCCCCCCCCCCCCAATTATCGAGCTGGCAGCGCCACTGTTTACAATATATAACGAGGATAAGTTAGATGGTGGAGCACCAATTCAACATGCCTGAACATACAATGAAACAATTGTCTGACATGAGCAAACATTCAATAATTTGAATTTATTTTTCTGCTATAGCAACGGTTCTATTCGTGTGGATTACGATGTGATGTTTAACTCCACTGCTACAAACATCACAGCAGAATCACTAAATACAGAGCTAGGACAAATTGTAAATGCGGCGAATGGTACAGTTGGAAATTCTCTAGTCCTTGGACAAATTGAAGGAGGTCGTCTGTTCATCATTGAAGGTATAGATACAGTATGGGTTCCAATTTTAATCACATAGTCTCCTAATTGAAATATTCCGTAGAGATTCTTTGAATAAAAATTACATTGGAGTGGATTTCAACTCACTTTTCCTAATATGTTGCAAACTTCGTCATTTACTTCGCAAAGGTTATAATGATTCACATGCAGTTTAACTGAACAAAATCTCCGATTGGCTAATAGAGAAAGGGAGGGAACGAAATGCGTAGTTTACAAGTTGAATTTTATTATGCATACGCTTTTGGTTTTGAAAATGAATTTTTGCCAATCGAATGAAGGTTAGCAAAATTAGCGAAATTGACTGAAAATGAAATTTATTCAATAGTAAACTGTTTCGAGGTACTGGCGTGTATTAATTAATAGTCAAACAACTCATTAATAATTCATAAAGCTTATTAGAAAATCATGACAACCATAACATATCACGTGAAAAGGCTTTATACCTGCATGATAAAAGTCATCTTCATTAAATTAATATTCTTTATATAAAGATCCATCCTAATTAGCAGCCTTTATACAAAGAATACTAACGAGATAGCCTGCGAACAGGCTCTCAAGCTGAATTGAGAGCCTGCATCGATGACTAATCAATTTGAATATCTGCGTCTCAAATCGTGACGCAAAATTCTCATTGGTCAGATGCTATAATTTATATGTTTCCGCTGAGCTCTATATATGTCAACTGCTGAAGCACTATGCATAAAAAACACATTAACTGATCAAATTGGTCTTGGCCATCTTATCTCAAAGCACGAAATGTTCTGTTTTGAGAAAACAGTATTTAAAACATTGGAACTTTTGCTTGAATATCTTATATTTCGAAAAACAGTATAACAAAAATGCGGTCTAAATTTAGTTTGCACGGTCTAAATTTAGTTTGCACGAAAGTTGTAAACAACACCATATTTGGAAAAACGAACGTTACGGGGCAGATATTCAAATTGATTAGTCATCGATGCAGGCTCTCAATTCAGCTTGAGTGCCTGTTCGCAGGCTAACTAACGAGATGGCATCTATTGTAGTCGTGCTTGAAGTTTAAATTATCTCAAATGAGCTTAACTCGTCAATCTTCGTCTTAGTAAGACAATAAGATCGTCCAGTGTAAAACATGGTTCAATTGACCCCTGAGCAGAGAAACAAATACCTTGCAGCAGACTCGCATTGCTTTTGGATTGATTGACTTTTCATAATTAATGTATTTTCAATTCCCAACAGTGGAAGAATGTGATTTGGACCGGCAATTTCTTTTTGACGAGTATATGGCCATTTCTTATCGTTACGGTTTAATAAAGCTATCATATATAGAAAAGCTAAATATAACAGCTCTTTGCTCCTACGTAAAAATTGAATTGTTTAGCTATGATGCACGACAGCCTGTTGAATTTCCATAGAGTTTTTCTTATTCACCCTGTATATGAATAATATATATACAGGGTGTCTAAAAAACGCAATGGAAATTCAACAGGTTGTCGTGCATCGTAAACTAATTAGCTAAACAATTCAATTTTTACATAGAATTAAAGAGCTGTTACTTACTGTAGCTTCTCTATGATACCTTTTTTAAATCGTAACAATGAGAAATGGCCACATAAACGTCAAATTAAAATTTGCCGGTCGAAATCACATTCTTCCATTCTTCCAAATTGAAAATACATTAATTATGCAAAGTCAGTCAATCCAAAAGCAACGCGAGCCTGCTGTAAGCTATTTGGTTCGTAAAACGTTTTGATGATGAATGTTCTCTGTTCATGGGTTAATTCAACCATGTTTTGTGGGCGTTCTTATTGAGTTATTAGCGAGGTTTAGCAAAGACGACGCGACGTCAAAGACGACGTGAAAATGGCGTAAAAATGGCGTAGGCACTTCCATAGATGGGCATGTCACGCCATTTTTACGCCATTTTCACGTCGTCTTTGACGTCGCGTCGTCTTTGCTAAACCTCGCTAATGTCGCACTAAGACGAAGATCGACGAGTTGAGCTCATTTTAGATAATTTAACATTCAATTTTAATTCCTTCTTGGGAAATGTTTATGTAGCCTAGTTTCGTTTTCCATGCAATTCCCAATGGTGGAAGAATGTGATTTCGACCGGCAATTTTTATTTCACGAGTATTTGTGGCCATTTCTCATCGTTACGATTTAAAAAGAGTATCATTGAAAAGCTAAATAACTGTTCTTTCGTCTTATGTAAAAATTTAATTGTTTAACTACGTTTATGATGCACGACAGCCTGTTGAATTTTCATAGCGTTTTTTTAGACACCTTGTATATTATTGTCGCAAGGAGAATACATTTACATTGTTAATAGCAGTTTAACTGTTTAATAAAATGAAGGTTATACAGGGTGTATAAAAAAAACGCAACCTCGGAATTTCCTAAGAAATCACTTTGCAATTCTTAAGCATGAAAGATTTTAGGCCCCTGGGAATTAAAATCGAATTGCTAACAGATCATATTACTATTGTTCTGCATTAAATAAATGCATAAATTTTGCTTTATGCACTCGCGTGTGCAGTAATTTTGACAGTTGTGCTATTTTAAATTCCCTGGCGCCTAAAATCATTTGTCTTTAAAACAATGTCGATTTCTTGGGAAATTCCGAGGTTGCGTTTTTTTTTATACACGCTGTATATGTTCTACAATGCAATGTAATACAATACAATGCGATGCGATGCGATGCGATGCGATGCGATGCAATGCAATGCAATAACATTAACGTCAGTTATAATCAATGGCCATCAATGGCGAAAATTGTATAACTGCTAGTTTGTGAAGTTATTAATTATTTGGTTTATTTTAGATAAAGACGAGTGTACGACTGCGGACCCTTGCGATGAAAATGCAGTTTGTAATAATACAGACGGATCTTTTGTTTGTCGTTGTCATTCCGGATTTTCTGGTGACGGTCTTATTTGCACAGGTGCATATTATTTTATAAGATTTACAAATCTTGATATTTACCCATTCCGTATAGTGTCACCAACCCACTTTGTAATAGATAAAGCGTGAGCTACCGCGTTCGTATTGTATCAGACATGTACCAACTCCAGCCGAATGGGCGAGATGTTGTATATCTGATCCAACACGTACGCGAATGCTTTATATAGCTTCTGAAACGTCTTGATGAGATAACATTCGTATTCTTCAACAATTTAACATTTATTATTGACATTTGGTGAGAAAATCGGAATTAAAGTTCATGTAAATCATGCTGATTTATGTATCAGGTTTTTGTGTTTTATTCGTGAATTATTAATGATTTCACAAATACTGCATAGAGCATACATTACCTTGTAGTAAATGCTTTAATATTAAGCAATCTTTATTCACCAGGAATAAGACACTGATCCACTGATCACCTTTAAATCCTATCTTGAACACACTGAACCGTTATTTCACAAGTTGAAGATCTTAAATATTTTTAAGATCAATGATTATTTAAGTTGCTTATTCATGTACCGTATTAAATACTTCCAAAATTTACCTGAATTTTTTAATAATTACTTCACGCGGAATAGTGAAATACATCGTTATAATACTCGAAATGCAAACAAATTTCACGTTAAGGCCACATAAAAAAAAATAGTTGGTTAGCATCCCCGCCCGCCCACAAAAAAGGCCCCGCTCAGGATTTTTTTTTTATTTTTTATTTTAAAAACCCCCGACTTTTATTGATCAACGGGCTCTAATATATGTAGTATTTCTGTCGTCTGTAGTCAATTGTGTTAATAATTTGCGAAATTGCGTGCGAAAATGACGGTATGAATTATATTTTGAAATATATAAAAAAAAGATCGGTACTGCGCAAGAAAATCCAGTTTCGGACCTAACAGAGAGTAAAACCAAGGCGTTAAAAATTAGTAAAAATTTAAAAAAAGCGCCCGCCCCCCACTTTTTGGCAAAAGCCAAGGACGCTAACCAACTATTTTTTTTATATGGCCTAACAATAAAAGAACCAATTATGCCAAACATACCGTTATTAACAAGGGAATTGAAATATGGAATTCCCTTGATGAAAAGATTAGCAATATTAGGTCTTATTTTACTTTTAAAATAAAATAAAATCAAAGATATTCTTTTTGGAATATATTTGATTGTCATCAAACAAGTCATATCTTCATGTCTTGTATATAGAAAAATAATTTTTAGTTAAATTAAACTTTCCTTCTTATTATTTCTTAGTTATATTATAATCATTACTTGTAAATATTCTATTCGACTCTCAAAAATTATTCTTATGAATATTGTAAAACTAGGGACCTCTTACCAAAAAGCCTGAAAGGGTTTCATTAAGGTCCCTAGCCCTTCACGTTGTTATTATAGCACTGTAATTATGTAAACTTTTTATTGGGCAAAATAAATAATAATAATAATAATAATAATAATAATAATAACTAGTCACAGAAATGTTTTGGTACTTTTTCTTCCACCAATAAGCAATGAATTATCTCTGATACAAATTTAAATCTTACAGATATTGACGAATGCTCTACTAATCCTTGTCATGAAAATGCCACTTGTGAAAATTTTCCGGGAAATTTCTCTTGTACTTGTAAAACCAGCTACACTGGTAACGGGACGCATTGCACTGGTACGTTGAATTATTTATATTTTTGACATGTTTTTCACAATTTATTCAAACTTTCATATAAGATGACAAAAATTTCACATTCAGCTTCTTTCTTTTACTTCCAAATAGGTGCAACCATTTTGACATAATTTATTTATTTATTTATCAGCTTTATTGGACAAATATAGTAGAAACATTTACAAGTTTAATTCCAAAGGGGATAGCGCAAACGGGACAACGAGACGCATGCTAGGCGCACCCCCTCCAAAAAAAAGAAGGAAAAAAAAACCCCAACCTAATTCACTATATACAAATATATATTACATAACATGCATATTGAGAACGGTGGCAGGGGCAGTCTCTTGTGAGCGACCAAGTGCATGCCATATCAACATTAAAAGTACTGTTGACCAATGCGGTGTATATGTCACATGCAGAAAGCTTTTAAAAATTGTTAAACTGCGAACTTTTCAGGAGAGGCTATTTTTCCAACATTATTCCAAGTTTTAACTATTCGGTTAAAGAACGATCCTTGGAAAGTGGATGTTCTACAGTAAGGAGATTTTAACAATAGAGATGGATTCTGAGTACGAGTTCGATTATGATGTATAAATGACACAAAATGTTCAATGTTCAAATCAGTGTGGCCGAAAATACATTTATAGACCAGAATAAGATCTCTGATTTCCCGATCGTAAGTTAGTGGCAATAAATTGAGAGTTTTCAGTCTATCTTCATAAGACATTTCTCCAACTTTACTTTTGAGGATCCAACGTGTAGCGCGCCTTTGAACTCTTTCTAATGCAACTTGTAGCTTCACATTAGCTGGGGACCACACCTCCGTTGCGTAGCACAACTTTGATTTTACCAAAGTCAGGTATAGTGTTCGCCTAACTTTAGTATCTCTAATCAGGGGACAAGTTCTCTTTAAGATACCAAGCATCTTGTTGGCTTTACTGACGATTGAGAAAATGTGAGAATCCCAGGATAAGTTGCTTTTGACAATAATTCCCAGATCTTTTTCTTGGTGAGCGCGGTGTAAAATTACATTACCCAGACGATAGTCAGTAATTACAGGTGATTTTTTTCGAGTTATTGTTAATACCTTACACTTGGAGGCGTTAAATTTCATGTTAGAGTTATGACTCCAATTGTTCAAGTTCGAAATATCATGCTGCAAACTTTCACAGTCGCTAGGGGATTTTACTGATCGGTACAATTTGGTGTCATCTGCGAAGAGGCCGGTTCTTGTCTGTTCCTGGATAATATCAGGTAGGTCATTGATAAAAATAACAAACAGCAGAGGTCCTACAATGCTTCCCTGGGGAACACCAGAAGTAACGGGTAGGTACCGAGAAGCTACACCCTCTATCACAACTCTCTGCGATCTATCGCTAAGATAGTCAGTAAACCAGTTAAGAAGATTCCCCGTTACGCCATACCATTTAAGCTTTTCTATGAGAATAACATGGTCTACACAGTCAAAAGCCTTAGCAAAATCCACGTATAAAATGTCTGTTTGAGTGTTTTGGTCAAGTGATTTTCCAATAGAGTGGAGAACAGACAGAAGCTGTGTTACACATGATCGATTACGCATAAAACCGTGCTGAAGAGAAGTAATTAGATGTGAGACATGGGAATAGAACCTGTTACAGACGCACCGTTCCATCACCTTGCTTACTATCGGCAATAAAGAGATAGGTCTGTAATTTTCAGCAGGTTCTTTATTATCCTTCTTATGGACTGGTGTTACGTCGGCATTTTTCCATTCTGCAGGGAAACGCCCAATGCGTAGAGAGTGATTGAACAAAGTACAAAGACTTGGTGCGATTTCCGTGTACATTCCTTTAGGATGCGTGCGGGTATCCCGTCAGGACCGGGGGCTTTAGATGTGTCTAAACTAGACAAACAAGCTGACACTTCTTCCACTGTTAGCTCTATATCAGAGCTAATTACCAATTACCCCCCCCCCCTTCCACAAGGCTCCTTCAAAGCAAAGGCACCCCGTGGATAAGACGAACTTTGCAATACCCCCACTTTCATTTTACTTAACTAGAAATACATGCATGCAATAACCCCTCGCCTGTTTTCAAAAGATATATACTCAGTGCCGTTGCGAGCACGTCATCGCAGGGGGTGTGTGTGGTTAGATAGAGGGGAGGGGGTTACCAAAAAGTTTCCAGATGTACAAAAAATTTTCAGGACATATAATAATTTTTCCGAAAATACAGTTGTTTTCCAAATTCACTTTCTCAGTCATGTCCTGAGAATTACCTGAATTCCCCTGAAAATCTTCTGCAAATCTACTTAAATGTACGTACTAAAAGTGCACTGGAAATCTAGCTGAAATTCATCATGAGCAATAATCAGGGGTGTTGCACCCCCCCCCCCCCCCACCCAGTGAGTTCCAAGCAAACACTCTCTGATTTATTGTTCGTGTATTTCGATCACCTCCCAAAATATTGTGCATCATACTATAGAGCATTTTGCTGTTGTCATGCTCTAGCATGGTTCAAATTTATGAATTTTTATTATACAAAGTATAGTGTTTTACAGAGTTTTCGAGCACTGACAAAAATGATAATCTCAGATGTGAAATTATTCATGATAATCTCACATGTAAAAATTTATCGCCTTTTCAATTATCGCTTTTCTGTAAATATTATCGCTTTTCATTTAAGACTGTCCTTTATATAATAAACAGAAAAATACATGGGTGGTTGGAAATACCAGATTTATTTTTTGTGTTGAACATGACATCTCACTCGTTCGCTGCGCTCACTTGTTCGCTGCGCTCACTTGTTCGCTGCGCTCACTTGTTCGCTGCACACTCATGTTCAACACTCGAAATAAATCTGGTATTTCGTGCACCCATGTATTATTCTCTATTTAAACTACAGCTAGACTGGTTTAAATTATTATCAATTTATCAGTGATTGTAAAAGTTGGAAATAGAAGTGTTTTGTTTTATAAAATTATTAAGTTGTCGGTGATCG